TAAGGATATTTTAGACCAGACTTGGGTCTCTGAATTTTCTCCTCGTGAACATAAAGGGCTTGCGTATGAGGCTTAAGGGGCAATCTTCCTCCCTAACCCCTTCACTTCTTGGGCTCAAGGGGTTTTTATTGTACACTCTCGGAAGTTTTTTGGCATTTTTGCAGGTGTATCTTACTACGAATTTGGTGGTGAACGTATTTTCGACTCAATGTCGTAGTTGAAATTATTAAATCATGTGTTGGGGCTAAAAGGAAAACTGTTCATTATTCTGCCATGCTAAGGAAAAACGCCGTATGAGCATCCGAATGTTACCGAATTTCCTCTCAGGAAATAATTATTTTTTAAGAAAGTTATGGATATGTTTCCTTAAATTTTTAGACTTCTTAGATCAAATTACGAACGAAATCTTCTGAAAAAATCGGATGAGAAATAATCTCAGATTCTTCTGAAAATCTTTGATTTGTTGAAGGAAATTTGGCAAAGCCTGATGGCTCATACGGCATTTTTCGGTAGCACGGCAGTATTATGGTGCAAAATTTTGACATTATAATTAGCCTATGATTTGAGAACATAGGAAACGTAACATTCTATTAAAAATTGTTTTAATTTCGAAAATTTTTTTTTCGAGCTATAACTCCTTGATTGTGCTGCAAGATTGCTAAGGGTGTAAGTCAATAATAAGAGCGTGAGAAAAAAAAAAAAAAAAAAAAACTACGAGAAAATACAGATGGAGAAGGAGGTTAGGGAAGCAAATGAGGCTAATTTAGCAAAATATGAGAAGAGAAGGAACATAGTAGGATAAAGAGGAAAATAGATGAGAGGATGACTTCGAAGAAGATGATGAAGGAAAAATAGCAAAGGGGTTAAGATTTCACAATTTAGCCCCGTCACAATTTGGACTGAGTTCATCAGAAAGGAACAAACCCATTTCAAGCTGAAACTGAGAAAAAGAAGTTTGAAGTTTTATTCCTGCATACGGCTCAATGTAGTGAATAAACTTTACCTGCTCTTTTCACAGACTAATTTCTGGTTTTTTTACTTCTAGTTTTAGTTAGGAGAAAGTATACGGCTAGTGGAACTCGAAAACATTCTTATCTTAATTCTACCGAGTTGGTTTTTTTTCTGATAAACTCGGTCCATTTGACCTCATGCACTGACAACTGATCGAAAATATTCAACCACGACCTTCAAAAAAAAAAAAAAAAAAAACTAAAAAACAAGATGTCACTTTAATTTTTGTCCCCAAAACTCCGCAGCTTTAGGGACTCAAACTTAAAATGGGTGTATCCCATATCAGCTCCTCGGTTTGCTTCTCATATGTTAGAACTTGGCTCTTTTTTCTGACAAGTTGGGAACATTTTAATGTATTAGTACACGTTCCAAACCAAAGTTTGGGGGACGCGTGAGTAATTTTCTTAATATTGATCTCTCGAATCCTCTCTCGTTACGGAACAGCGATCCTCAAGTGAGCTCAAAATGACGCACGCAAAGTTTCGAAGCCCATCTCTTGACATGACTGTCGAAGCGAGACAGTTTCTCAAAATCTGCCCGTCAAATATTAGATTTTTCTCAGAATTTTCGTATTGATCGAGCCAAACTTTGCCTCTAAATTAGGTTAACTCGTTCTACATTCCATGCATGCATCAATCCATCGATTTAAAATCCTGCACACCGTACAACACATCAACTTGGAGGCTCAATAATCTCAACTCTTGCATGTTGGTACTTTTCGGTCCGCATCGGATCCAGTTTTTTTGATGCATTGAAAAATAGTTACCGATTTCAGAGATGGAAGATAAGAGTAAATAAACGACGACCTTTCATAAGCGATTTATGGGGACAAAAAAGTCTAAGACTTATCATAAGTTGCATGGTGATGCGGATTAAAAGAATCTGAATTTCTAGAACCAGAGAATTATGCATATCGACGGCGTAAGTCCGCAACATAGCATCTTATTTGCGGTGTATGAAAATCTCCGCTCCTATTTTATTTTTTCAAGGGTGAGCAAATCGACATCATTCCTTTAAGTTTTCGCAGAATTTTCTTGGCACTTAGAAGAATATGGCATTTTTTAAGAATTGCCATTGAGTAGTTTTTCAATAAAAAAATAAAGTATGACAGGAAGTCTGCAACGTTGCATACCGAGAAACGTATTTGCGGACTTACACTGTCGATATAATATAGAGGGCTCCTTTCTATGCGATTCTCTATTCTTTTTTTCGCAAAGACACACTTCTTTCAATTCGGTCGACTGCAAGGCTCAAGAAATTCAATGCTAGGGCACTAGGCTTTTTGCACGATGGAATTTTTTCAGTTAACTCAACAAGGTGAGCACATAAAAGGCAGTTCCTATTCTGAGAAGAGAATAAAAATTTTACGGCACTTTTCGAGGGTAAATGCAGCATAACTGAGAGGGAACGTAGATCTAAAAATGCTCAACACAGCGAGAACCGTAGCCTGAGGTAAGATTAAGTTCATTTCCTTGTTGCCAATTTTTGCAACTAATCTTTTGACCCACTTATGCTTTAGAATTAGTCTTGATGACGAAGCTCCATCTTTCGTCCTATGGAAGAATTTACCTCAAACCCTTTCAAGAGTGAAATCACTGTATTTTTTGTTTTTATTTTTTTGCAGGGATATTTCAATTCAGAGATCTTGCTTTACAAATCTAAGATATGTACACTGAAAAAAAAACTCCGGCCGTGGGAGCCGCAATTACGGGCTATATAGAGATACCGTCCGTTCCGGGCTCAAAGGCCGAAAATTCCGGCTGCTGGAGCCGTAGCTTCGGCCTCCGAACCCGGAGCAATCGAAAATACGGCTCCAGCAGCCGGAATTTTCGGCCTTTGAGCCCGGAACGAACGGTATCTCTATATAGCCCGTAATTTCGGCTCCCACGGCCGGAGTTTTTTTTTTTCAGTGTAATTGAGTGAGGCCATATTTCAGTTAAGAGGTCATCGTGAATCATTCTTGCCTAACGAAGGTTGATGAGCGGCTTGTTGGGCAAAAAATCTAGATAAATTGCTGATTGATGGCTGATGAAAGTCGGCATGATCACTTTACTAGGCGAGTTTTTGCCGATTGAGTTAGGATCGCTAAACCAAGTGCTCAACTTTTTGGTAAGCAGTCTTCATTCTGCGGATTAGAGCGTTAATTTTCGAGAGTCATTTTTACACAATAGGGTACACGTAATTTTGGGGTCTCTAAAATATATCTCCTCAGTTCTCTGGAGCGATTTTCAGCTGTTCTACATTGAAAGCAATAAATCATTAACGCTAAAATTTTCGAAAGCGAGTTTCTTTCAACATTTGTCTAATTTGATTTAGATGAAATCACTAAACCAGCTTAAAGAGCAAAATCCGTTTTAATTGTATAAACACGAGACCTATGAGAAAGCCGCAAGCTCAGAAAAATTGACGTTGTCTCAGACGAAACAACCGTAAGGGATACGATAAGGATTAGAGCCAGAGGCCTGTCTTTTTCTTATTGAGTTAAATGATTTCTGATTTCTGCGAATTTCCAATCTTTAAATTTGCTTTTTGTGTATCCATACCGCAACCACTAGAGCAGAGAGCATGCAGAGGATAGGACTTGCGGCCATATCTTTCCCAACACTAGCCTAACATGAAACTAAAAAAGGCCCTTTTTTAAAGTTGAAATTAAAATTCGTCGATGTTTAATCAGTCAAACGATTTCCGCGAGCTTTTCGGATGATTGGTGGCAATTTGACAAAGAACTGCGAGGCCTCTTTCGACAAAATCCGCCGTCAATAAAAACCTATGGAAAAGGATCGATAAACAGGGTGTTCGCAACGAACACCTTAGTAATCGATTCTTTACCATAGCTTCAAATGGAGAAATATCGATAATCGATCATTAACACCTCGCCACCGGCGAAAAGGCCCGAGAGGAGGAAGTACTCGTCGATGGCCATTTTGTCAACTTCCGGACGCTGCATCTTAGAATCGCGGCGCTCAGTGGATCGAGTCAATTAGAGAGGTTGAACATGACCTTTTTGACTACAACGGCAAATTTTGATGTTTATTTCGTCACATTTAAAAGCTTAAATAGTGATTCTAAGAGTGATTTTAAGGGTGATGAGAAGAAAATTTCACTAGGAAAGCAATGGAACCACATTTGGAACCTTAAAGATTTTCATAAGTGTAACAACCGAACAAATAACATAATCTAAATAATATTTTTAAAATACTAAGTAATGTAATTGATTTTAATGAAGTAAAAAACCTACGAGATAAATATAAAAATAAAAAAAAACGAATAAAAGACAGGGACTGTCACTACTAAATAAAAAGATGCTCTACCTGATTAGCCCCAATCCACATAAGTAGTGTAACAGTAATCACAAAAAAGTACACGAAATTTAAAATAGGATATAATAACTTCATCTACAACATTTCCCATTACAAAATAAAATTGATATTAAAATTAAATTGGTAAAAATAAGGCCCCTACCCCCCCCCCCCTTAAGTTTATTGGGAATAGCACGTAAAATCGCATGTGAAAACAAGTAGTATCACTCTGGTTGGTAGTATAATTGAATCAGTGAGATCGAAAACACACCAACTCGCTATCTCGAAAATACTCAATTCTCATCAAAGACAGTCAATTTCTACAAAGTTCATTGAAGTTAGCGCATCTTTTCCAACATGGACCTTTAAAATGTCCTAAAAAGCTTTGTCTTTCGGAACCAGAAATCTTTTTCTTAGATTAATTTCTTCGTCTACTTTGCAGTTTGGTGTGTGTCTTGATTACTTTCATTTTTCCGAGTTGATGTGTTTTCGTTCTCACTGATTCAATTAATTTTTATAGACCGAAATCCTTCATACAGGATTCTGGGATTACATCTCGTCACCATTGGGACGTTTGTTTCCAAATTTTGTGGAAGCTCTCTTATTGACTGAATCCACCGTGCGGCGGGGAGACGTGGCGGTTTTTATTGCGTTATTGTGTGTGTTTATTGAGGCGTGTGGGGTACTCACCGTGCAATCGCCCTCTCCAACGTAGCAGAAGTCCCCGGAAGCGGAAGTCGGGACCCACAAGTGCTCGCCGTTGGTGGCCGTGTCGCCCCAGTCGGGCGTCGATCTTATTTGCCGCGGACCCGATTCCCCGTCACCTTGCACAGCTTTTCTGAAACACAAAAAACCAGTATCTCGTCAGTCCCATGCTCGTTTTTACCAAAATTTGTCGTTTCCCTCCCGAAAGAACGTAACTAAAGCTCAGCGTTGCAACATTGCCCATCGTAAATTGCATTTTTACTAGGAGAATCTTGAGCGTTTCTTTTTGAGACTTTCCCTGATTATGTATGTCCAATGAGCGCTTTCACCAAAATTCGTAGTTTCCCTCACGAGGAAACGTAACTAAAGCTCAGTGTTGCCACATTTCCCCTCGTAAATTGCAGTTTTGTGCGTATCTATTTGAGCCTTTCCCTGATTTTGTATGTCGAATGCGCGCTTTCACCAAAATTCGTCGTTTCCCTCACGAGGAAACGTAACTAAAGCTCAGTGTTGCCACATTTCCCCTCGTAAATTGCATTTTTGCCTGGAAAATTGTGTGCGTATCTTTTTGAGCCTTTCCCTGATTTTGTATGTCGAATGCGCGCTTTCACCAAAATTCGTCGTTTCCCTCACGAAAGAATGTAACTAAAGTTCATCGTTGCCACATTTCCCCTCGTAAACTGTATTTTTACCAGGAAAATTTTTTTATTTTTCTTAAGCGTATCTTTCTGAAACTATCCCTGATTTTTATGTCCAATGTGCGCTTTCACCAAAATTCGTCGTTTCCTTCACGAAAGAACGTAACTAAAGTTCATCGCTGCCACAATTTCCCTCGTAAACTGCATTGTTACCATGAGAATCTTGAGCGTAAACTTTCCCTGATCTTTTATCCGCACGGAGAAAAAAACTTCGTGCGTGGGACCTGAAGTTGAGGTCATATGGGTCTCTGAAGTTTTCCGATCATGCATCTAAAAACTTGAGGTCAAGCTGCCGAAGTTCGGATCAGACATCGAGGCACTTCGGTATGTGCAGGAGTACTTCAGATGTGTGACCCGAGCCCTTCGGTATACATCAAAGTACTTCAGATGTCTGGCCCGAACTTCCGCAGCTGGACCTCAAGTTTTTAGATACGTGATACGAAAACCTCAGAGATCCATATGACCTCAACTTCGGGTCCCACGCTCGAAGTTTTTTTCTCCGTGCGATCTCATGCAAAAAACCGGAAAAATTTGGACGAGAAATTGCTGAAGAACATTCTCATTAAAAATTGAATTGTTGGAGTCAATTTTGCAACCTTCGAAATGGACTTATGCTAAAAGGAACCATGTTTCACGCAAATCCTATGTTTATAATTCCTTTTAGCATGAATACGCCCAAATGACCGAGTCTGCTGAAATACGTGAATTTAAACATGAAATGCCATCAGGGCCTTGTGACGTCACAAGGCCGAGCATTTTTTCACTTTTGAATCTATTTTTTTACAATTTCCTATATCAGACAAAAAATTGTAAGATATACTGCGAACTTGGCTCACTAAGCACTTTTAAATTAAGCAATACAATTTTTCGTGCTAATTCTTCATTAGTTTTTAATGATTTCATTACGCTATGTGCTACGGGGAGACGAAGTCTCGTTCCTTCATTTGATGAGAGATGAATTTAGACTTAAACGACGCGTTGGGTGCAGAAATGACATTTCTTGGTTGCGGTGTCTCGCAATTATTATTGCTAATTTTTATTTTGGAGAGGAATTTCTTGGATGAATTTTCTGAAATTTCACGTTTTAGCACTGTAAAATCATAAAGAATTTTCAGTAAAAATATTTCTACAAAATAAAGTCCACTTTTACTATTTTATTGCAATTTATTCCGATCAATGCTACTCGGAATTTTGACCGCATTCAGCAGAAGGCATTAACGAACGAGATTACAGTGTTTTCAAAACCGAAAAGTTTCCTCTTTGCCTTAAAAAATACTGAATATATGTGCGGTAATAAAATGAGCACAATTGATTCCCTTTAAAATTAACACTTAACTCTGGAGAAACAAAAAAGCTTTTTAGGCATTTGTTTTAGATGAAGATGAAGATGCAGGATGCGGATGCAGGATGCTAAATGCGATCCTTTTCTTGGTTGCAAAATTTCCACTCACGATCCAAGAGCGAACTATGTAAATAGTAAGTAGAGACTTTTTGTGACTGCTTCTTTCATCGATTTATTTTGCTCACAACTTAGAATGAATTTCTATCCACTCAGGGTATACCACCGACAGGGGATTTTTCGATGGCGTATTTGACATTAAAGTATGGCGACGGTTATAAATGTCGCGCGAATAAACCAGGCAACCTTGTGGACTCCAAGCCAAGACCAGCAACAGGTGCATAGCGACAAACGCGCTTAGTAAATGTTGTTCGTTGACAATTTAATTTATGCTCGGTCCTTGTGCGACGCTGTAGTGGGGACGGATTTTGCTTCTCTTTTTTTTTGTCGAAAGTTTATTACGTTTTATTGAGCGTACAATGCATGAAAATTCCTGTTCCTTGTAAAGACATTTAAAACGTAACTACATTTTAATATTGCCAAGTTAGAAACCCCATTTTTATCAGAGGAATCTTGACAATTTCTGACTGAAAATTCCACTGATTTTTCTTCCGACCTCGTAGGAAAATCAGAAAAATTTTGGACAAAAATTGCGCAGGTACATTTTCACAAAAAATTAAATCGTCAGGGTCAATTTTGTGACTTTGGGACTGAGTTACGTTCCTTCGTCGGGGAAAGGACACGTAACGTGACGTCATAAATGACCAAGTTAGAAAAGATGTGACCTCAAGATGGAGAAAATTGATTTGACACAAGCATACTTCATTTACAGTTCTTACAGATATTGATGCCGAACCTATTTCTGTAGGATGACTCTAAAATTCATGAACTTTTTCCGAATTTTCCTCTTAAATTGTTGGGTTCACTTTTAAGCAAACTTGTCAGTATTCCGTAAACAATGAGGTATGCAGATACGCTAAAAATTCTTTCAGCGTTCACCCTTAGTCCGCTTTGCATAAACTCATTGTCAGTCAAGCTATCACAAAGCCCATCACAAAGCTATCTAACCACTGCATCTATTCAGTGGTTGGTTTGTGAAAAACTAACGACAGTGCGAGTGCACTCGCCGGTAGGTAAATACGTCACTTTTATGTGCAATAAACACACAGCCAACGGGGAACTAAGGTCGGTGCCAGGGCTGTAGTTTTCAAAAATTTGAATTAGAGAGGCTGATAACTGTTTTGGAAGCTACAACCGTGGTATATGCATCATTCGTCTGATAACTTTATGCTGCACATAGAGCTAAATTTGGTGTATCTACTTGATGGTAAGTACAGACTGCATTTTACAGTGCTGCCGTGATCTTTTCACCAATTAAATCAATCACAAAAGTCAATCATTGAGATTCTTGACTACGATACCTGCCAAGTACATGAATGATACGGCATATTCCTTCTTTTTTCGTGAATAGTATGCTTTTTATGAATGAGGCACTGCTTATCTGAACATAGAATATGGTTTTTATCCTTGAACCTTAAACAACGTTACATCAAAAGAAACAGAGTAGATGGTCATTAAAAAAAGGAGAAGAACGAAAAATCCTGACGAAAAAACGCATTAATGGATATGAAATATTTATGATAAAACAAAACATGATAGATCTACTGTGCAAAAGCGGATTCAGCAATTTTTCAACACTGGATTTCCTCAATTTAAACCGATGCTAAATAATCAATTCTTGGCGGAGCACCTGGCCCCTCCAAGAATCGATACATTTCCATAGGTTTAAATGGAGAAAAAATAATGTTGCCAATTTGCTGGATCCGCCAATGCTACTGTGTTAGTAAGAGAGCATATCTCTGTAAATACTGAACGCAGAGTTTCAGCAGTGAACAAATCTCAATGAAAATTTCTGTGAAGTTCAATCATTAAGGCACGATTCTGGAACTCAACATGCATACCAGACCCGAAGTACGTCAGGTCCAAAGAAGCGGAAAAAATTAACATAGTAAGAATTCTGGATATTATGAATTTATTCAGGTGTTTTACCATGCACACTGTAACAAAATCAGTGCAATGATGCATAATGCGGGGAGCAGCCCGGGGTATACGAGAGAAAATGTAAGAGGAGGGTTTTAAAACTCGGTGAATTTATTTTTATGACGTCGAGAGACGGCGTATTGGAGAATTCAATAAAAAGAGCATCAATCATGCTAGAAGTTGGGATGCAAGCGCGTGTCCCGGAGTACCACTGGAGGTGCATTTTTCAGCTTATGAACACGAGGTATGAGAAAATATGGTTGGAACGAGGTGGAATCGCAGTTAATGAGGGACCGCAAAAGGGAAGGAAAAAGACAGAAAAAGAAAAAGCACGAGCACTAGTTCCGTCATGAGTTGATGATGAAAACAATAAGTTTTTATTATCATCTCTGAGCTGTTAACGGTAGGTCAGGTTTATTGATACTCCCGCTCGAGTTATGAACAGCATGATATTATTACTCATTATTGTGAAGATATATATCTCAGGAAATATTTACGATCCATAATGATGGGTAAAAATGTATAATCCTCCGAATGTCTCGAGTTCCTTTTATATCACGAATAAAATAACATTGTTACAGTGCAGTATAAAATGTATCAAAACTTCATGCTCTGCTGATGGAGTGTCCTAAATTTTACTATGTTGCATGCAATTTTCATCGTACCAGCATACTGCCGTGCTAAGGAAAAACGCCGTATGAGCCTTAGACGTTGCCAAATTTCCTTTTATTTAATACGAATTTACAGGAAAACTTGTTTATAGTTTCATTTCAATTTTTTAGAGATTTTTTTCCGCAGTTACATCTAAATCATCTGACAATTTTAGGGGAAAATATGTAAAACTCTCCTTGTTAATAAACATTTAATCGGAGGAAATTTGGCAACTCCCGAATGTTCATACGGCGTGTTTCTTCAGCACGGTAGCATACGCCACTGGCATAGAGGCAACAAAAATTGTCCTTCTTTTAGAAATTGATATTAATGTAAAACAAGCGGGAAAGCAATATAATATGCTCTTATTAGAGAGGCGCTCAGAGCTTTCTATGGTCAAGTTAA